AAGGTGCAATTTTCTTTTCATCTGCTGGGACTTACATTATTAAGAAGACAAATACTGCAAGACTGTTCTGTTGTGCTCATGTCAGTTATGAGACTTCACCACCTCATATCTGTAGGTATTATTTATAAAAGCTGCAATCACTAGCTATTTTTTTCAGAAGACTTAAGTGATCAATCTCTTGCTTCTAAGTATTTACTATTTAAGTCCCTGACTCTGCAAATATTTATCCACTTCAGTGGTTACACAAAAAGTACATGACTAAAAAGTCTAAATGAGAATCTTATGATTGGTGCATGTGTGACTTTTCCAAAGAATCTGCAGGAATTACCAGCACTAATCCTACTGATAACATATGGCAGTTGGAATTCTGATTCACTTGTATGCTTTAGAAAATCCCAAGTGGTATATTTGATCACAACATAGTGGAACAGTTTACACAGAATATTTACAAGATACTGTAATGTTAGTACTATGTCTCCTGCTGACATCTATGTGGATAATGTGTCCTCAACTTTGTCCTTGACTCCAAACACCCTCTGACGCATCAAACACTGCCTACATCTGGAGACAAGACACTGGGCAGGATGGACTACATGGGGTCAGTGCTCATATACAATAGAGCAAATTCTTTATTTTAGATGACTGTTTGCAGACTCAGGATTAGACCGATCATTAGGTTTGTCCTCAGGAGGGATTCTCCTAGTTGTATGGACAGAGTGTGGCTTATTCTGTCTTTCCCTGCAGTACATACATGAATCAGTCACTAGAATCATCAGGACAGATTATCAACTCAACTCCTTGTTATTTCTGAAGCTTAGGCTTTGCCTTTCTGCTCTCTGTGACACAAAACAGCTTTGAACTACCCTAAAGTCTAGGAGACTTTTTGGTAACTAAAGTCTCTGGCATATAAAACAATTTAAGAACCTCTGAATCACAAAAGATGAAATAACTGAAGGATTCCACTCCTTATTAAAACTAATTTAAATGTTACATAGAATTTCTCAAGAGTGATGATGTTACATATTTATTGTAGGAACTATCAATTAACATAATTTTTGCTGAACACCCAGAAATTGTGTGCAATCTTTCTGAATACAGCTGAATGACAGAAAACTCAAATGTTGTTCAGTGGTTTTATCACTGCATAAAATAATTCCTAGAAGCAATTTTTTCCTAATCAGTATATGCTGTTATTGATACTTATGCTCATATGCTAATGATCATTTTGCTCTCAAAACAGAAATTTGTCACAGAATCAGATCCTCCTCTGAGTTCTGCTCAATTTCCTGATCCAATTTGGTGATAAAATTGACTGCCTGCCTAATTCTTCATCACACTGACTCCTGCACATGGGCCATATTTTTTAGGCCCTGAATGCCGCCTTCTAAGAATATGACCATTCAAGATGATTTTCAAGCCCAAAGCAGACACAGAACAAAAGCTAGATCTATCTTGTCATACAACCATTGAAATGATCCAGCAAATTGGCCAGATCATCACTCGCTTGATGCTAAGACTAATGCTTCAATTTAACACCAAATACATACCATTATTTCATTGCTTATATACATATGATTTCTCACTGCAGTGCCTACTGTTAGTTTTTATTAGTTTTTTTCAAGATGCCCTTAGGATAACTTTGTACCCAAACCTACTAGTACCTAGTATCTAGTACCAAGCAATAAAAGAGACTTTTACATAGCGCAGTCATAAGGTAAACATGAGGAAACATTAAGAACTTGCCTTTCCAAGAACTGTCATTAGCATCTTCAGAAATAACGTTTTACTACTATAGGCTGAAGATTTTGAATCTGCCTTCACAATATGAATACTGCATCCAAATATGGGACAGAGACATAGAGTTTAGGTTCTTCTTCCATCCACAAAAACATTCACAATAACTTGAAGGGAGATTTTGGGAAAAGACAGAGTTGTAAAATGAAATTTTATACCCACAACAGCATTATTTTGATCCATAAAAATGCAAAGCACATGTTCACATCTGGGATTTTAATAGCTTATTCAAAAAACTTCTCAGCTATTATTCTGCTGCATTCCTACAGAAGCAACATGATGAAGTCACAAAAGAAAACTCCAGCAACAGACGCGTTCCAGATGTTCCCCTGTACTTGCCTGAATCATTGCTTCACTAAGAATACTACGATATACAGAACTTTCATAAATTTAAATAATATCTAACTATTTTTTTACTACATTTGTTATGGCAAATATAATGTATGCACAATACAAAGCGTGTATCACTTGTAACTCCAAACATACTGATTGTAGCAAGTGGCAACTCTGCTCTAGCCAAGGTCAACAGTTGGTTTTCTGTCAAAAAGGCAGAAATTCTGACCCAAATCCACATGTAATTATTGTTTCTTCAGAGATGAGAGGGAGGGTTAATGGTTTAAATTTGGGATCAATGAACCTACAGGTACCCAGGTTTGTATTTATTAATCACCTGTTTATAATAAGCAGTTTGACTCTTGCCTATGGATTAAACTACGATTTGATAAACTAATTTCAGGTCCTTCCAAGTTACCTAATAGCTTATTGAATTTGCTAAATTTCCAGGAAAGCAATTTTGAAAGAAATCAAAGCATTAATTGCCAGACTATGCTCAATTTTGACTGAATCAAGGAGAGTGATAGATGCATGCAGAACAGGACTAGAGCTCTTTGGACATCAAGTACTTTGTACATAGCCTGGTGTGACTCACAGCCAGAAAAGACTACAAGTTCACTCTTACTGCCTATATTTTCCAGACTACGCTGATACACACATGGTTTTTTCAGATCTTGGGGCAAAGATTGAAACACTGATGCTCAGTGTATGAAGACATATGTTTCATGCGTTGGAGCCCCATGTAGCCTTGCAGAAAAGGAGGCTCAGACAAAACTATGCCTCTATTTCTAGACACCAACATGTTTCCATGGATGCTGCTGGTAGCTGCTGGTTCTTCTAAAAAGAAAGATGATGACTGGACACTGAAGACAAGTATGAGGAGAAAATGAAAAGGAACTGGACATGATGGTCTATATTTTGCCTTCCAAATATCCAATTTTATTGTTCTGATTTCTTTTTGCCTTATAAAATACAATTTCTTCACTCCTGATATCCAGACAGGGCCCTGAGAATGACTATGAGCCAGTGAATAGCACAGGAAGAGAAAGCTCTAGTGGACTGAATGCAGGAAACAAAAATGGGCATAGCTGGTGCCACAAAACAGATAAACACTAACGGCAGTGCTGCAGCACAAGCCCAGTTCACTATAAAGCATCTGGCCTGTAGCTGAGGTCTGTGCATAAACTGTCTCAAAGTAGATCCCAACCACATAATGCCAAGAAAGGAGTAAGAATCTTAGAAGTTACATAGACTCAGAACATAACCCCACGAGCAGGCAGCGAAGATAAGAACACCCACTCAGATGAATGCGGAAGTCCACAAATCTCAGAGCTGTTGTTTCTGGCTGTGTTGATGTCCATGGGGTGTTCCCATTCATTCTCTTGAATGAATGTACTGCTACAGACCTCTCTCTGCCTTGTCTGCTGCAAGTGGATGTAAGGAAACGCTCTGGTGCACGTTAGACCTATGCCTGCTCTCCATCTTCTTCCTAAAATACATAGTCAAGAAAGCACATTGCTTAAAGAACAAAGATGAGAAGTGGGGCCTAGAGCACATAACAGCAAAAATAGAGCTGTTAGTAAAATGAGTGTACAAGACAGAAGAAATGGAGCTTGGAGAAATGTCTAACTGAAGTTGTAACTACGGTATTTCGGGTCTCTGTAGCATGGATTGTCAGACAAGCCTATGTTTATTACTCAGATGACATTACCTACAAAACACACAATATTTTAATTTTTTTTCAACGTTTTCAATTTTTTCTTGAAAAAATCTGCATATTTTATTTCTCCCTTTAAATATTTCAATAGAAAACACTTATTCTTTTCTGAAAGCACATCTCATCAGAAAAGTATTTCACAAAACCCCAAATTTATAGCAAAAATACTTAGTTTGAGCCCTTAAATATACTTTACTCTGTTTCTACAGCTCAAAAGATCTTGTGCTGCTTCCCAGATGGTTCACGTATCCCCATTATCACCCAACCCTGTTAAAATTCATCCAAATCTTTAATACTATATATATATATATACACATATAATGAATTATTCTTTCAGATGAACTATCTTCATTTATTACATTCATGACAGTCAAGCAATGCAATAATTTTTAAAAGAAAT